ATTGTTTACTAATAGGAAGAAACATCGCGTTCGAAGGCATGAAGTGAATACTTTTAGCGGTACTGACTGTAGTGTTATTGGACGGAAATTGCTGGAGATTTAGCGTCATTTTTCTTATGGATTAATATTGTGCAGGCTTTCTTCCACACTTCAGGAATAGTTCCAGAGAGCCACACGGATTGAATCAAATTTGTCAAATATGTCCAAGTAAGGGCATCGTTTGAAACAAATGATTGAAAGCTGGTCAAGAGGACACGGGGAGCCGGATGTTTTCATCTTTCGAATGATATTTGTGATTTGTTGATACGTTGGGGGGTCGAGGTCAAATTCAACATTTGGATTAGGTAAGATTGGAATCCAGCTGGGTATTTGAAATATTTTATTTTGGTTGACTTTAGCTAAGGTTGTTTTGAAATACGAGATGCATTGTGACATATCAAAGTCTGGGAGAACTAACTGGTTTGGTTAAGGACTTTCTTCACGTATCCCAAGATTACGCTCCATGAATTTATCGTGGTTGAACGATTCGTCGATATTACTATTATATTCATTATTCCGATTATTTTTCAATTTGTTCGAAGAAGCCGAGACACGTATTTATTTCTACAGGGTCAGAATTTGCCGATGATTTAGGGATTTCAAACATTTCTTTAGGTCCTTCACGTTATGATTTTATACTTATCTTTAGTTGATTCCTGAGGTAGGCTATCCACATAGCCAAATTTTCGGCGAAATATTATAAATAGTTTCATTTAATGCGGTTATTGATGTATTCAAATCGAGAGTTCTGATTGGTTGATTCAAGATTAAAGATAATTGAAATGTTCGTTTGCCGTTAGCCATTCTGAATCAGTTTTAGGTAGATTGATACCCTTTTTTAATGTTGGATACTCATCGCCATTCTCGTTTAACTTCAGGGTCGTCTCGAACATCGTTTGTATTTTCCAACTGGATGTCAGTACCCTCTTCTTGGTCTTTAAGATTTGCAATTAGTTCGTCGTTTAGGCCATGGATGACTCTACAACTACGTTGATGCATCTTAAGACCTCGAGCACCTTTACAAACTTTTCCACAACAGCATTTCACACCACTCTTTTTAGTAATTACTACGCCTGGCGAGTTGATAATAGGTTCCACAGGTATTCTATTAGGTATCGTTGTTTCGTAATGAGTATCATCATTAACCTTTTGTCTACAGCGCCATTGATGTCGACCAATACTTACAAAATCTTTTCCACAAAATGAACAGATTATACAGGATATTAACAAACAAATGATTCCCAAACGAATCATGATCAATAGCTCAAAAATATAAAATGTTTGGTTGTAATTCAAGTAAGAAATTTTGATTAAACGTAAGACATGTACAGCATGCGACCTGCCGCTACTGCTCGATGTAATAAATAAATAATAATAATAATAATAATAATAATAATAATAAAATATAATAATAATAATAATAATAAAAAATAATAATATAATAATAATAATAATAATAATAATAATAATATAATAATAATAATAATAAAATAATAATAATAAAATAATAATAATAATAATAATAATAATAATAATAATATAATAATAATATAAAATAATAATAATAATAATAATAAAATAATAATAATATAATAAAATAATAATATAATAATAATATAATATAATAATAATAATAATAATAAATATAATAAAATAATAATAATAATAATATAATAATAATAATAATAATATAATAATATAATAATAATAAAATAATGAAAACTTTATTTGACTTTTGTTTTTACATAATACAATTGCAAATCTCACTTTATCAAGGTAATTTACAATCGGCTACTTGAACCACAACTAATATCCTAATATTTAACAAAAACAAGAATTTATATCAATATTGACTATATATGTATATATATTACTTTATATAGATAGATTTAGAAGTTCAGATATTTTAAAAATTTAGTAAGTTTGGATTTTCCCATTCTTTATTTCTGCGGCAGAAAATGTAATAAGAGGCACGAATAGCTATGCTGGACATTTTTCTTACACAGTGCATTTGGTGATTTTCACTAATACCGATGTCTTTCAACATACCTAAAAATGAGGAACATTCTTCCCCAAATACACCTAGCGAGCTCATAGAAAGATTTACAAATTTCACTTTTTTAAACTTTTCATTTAGCTGATAAATTAATTGTTCATATTTAGATTTCTTTCTCTTAGCGTTATTCCTTAGGTTGGACTCATACCCGACGGTGAGCTCGACCACATATAGGAACCATTTGAGCAAGATAATAACAAATCTGGACGATATGTATCACCAGTAATAATGGTAGGACTCTTGAAATTTGGTATATCAGCGTAAAGGGTACAATCATTTACTGATTGCAATGTATCAGCAAGAAAGTTTAAGATCGAATTATGCCTCCATGTAAACCGCTCAAGATAAAATTGACATCCAGCCACCACATGTAATAACGACTCCGGGTTAAGGCAAAAAGTGCATTCTGAACTCGAAGATATTCCCCATCTGTTTAAGTTTTTGCGTGTGGGAAGAGAGTTATTGATATATCGTATGGTAAAGTTGTAAATATTCTTTGGAAGCTTGGATTGAGCGATAGACCACACCTTGTTTAGCTGTAATAATGATAACTTTGTTACACTGGAGAAAAAGGATCCTTGAATATGAAGCTGGTCTCGGAGTTTAACTTCATGTCCTAAGCGGAAATCTTTAATCACTTCTTTCGAACTGTTATAGGCGTCATATTGAATATTAGTGTGCGTATTAGTAGATTTCCATAACTCGTTAATTTCTTCATTAGGAGAGAGTTTTAAGGCTTTCCGAATAACAGTTTGGCATTGAATGAATTTTACAGATGGAGGATAGATACCTTGGCCGAATTTATTAGAAGTTATGAAAACAGAACTAAGTGTTCCCGAGATTGGAATCTCTAGCCATTTACGGATGTATTGATTGACTACGGAATCAATATTTTCGATGACCCATGTTTTTGAGAGTGTAGCGACGGTGAAATGCCATGACAGTTTTGATAGGACATAACGACTATATACACGAAGTTTATTCTTTGGATGGAGTGGTTTTGAGTCAATTTCAGACATTAACTCACTGATAAGGGTAATAAGTTCATACTTGTGGTTCTCATTCGACATGTTGAAGTCAAAGTAACGTCCTAAATAATTAAATGCTTCACCGCTCTTAATTGTTGGTATCATGTTATTATGAATGAAGAGTTTGGGCAAGTATTGCACTGATTTTGTGATTGCTTTCTTAATGCCAAAGGTACTACGCTTGTCAACACGGATAATCATATCAGCCCATTGGCACCAAATAGCGAAACGATTCAACAGATGTTGGTTTTCAGTTTCTTGGCCAGTAATTACGGCTGCGTCATCAGCAAACTGGAACCAGTGGATAGGATTTAACAATTTAAAGGAGAAGCCAAATTGACGGTACTTTTCAACTTTGATATGTTGAATGAAGGTGTTAAAGCACATGTTGAAAAGGAGAGGGCTCAGGCAGTCACCTTGCAGGACGCCACGGCCAACGGGGATGAATGGAGTGCAGTATTCCGAGGTGATTATTGAGGTTTGGAAGTCGGTATATAAACTATTTAAATTAATTTAATGTGATCGGGAATATGATGATAGTCAAGGACTGATTGAATTAAGTTATGATGGACTTCGCCGAACGCATTTTTTAGATCAAGTAAGGTGATGACAACAGAGCGTTGTCTGATCCGAGCTTTATTGATGATATCAGCCATTTGCGCTGTATGTTCTAGAGTTCCAGAAAGGTTGGGGGTAAAACCTTTTTGAATCTTGTGTTCGATGAAGTTATTTGATGCTAGGAAGGAGTACACATTTCTTAGACAGGACGTGAAGACTTTTAATGGTATAGACTGAAGCGTAATTGGTCGGAAGTTTGAAGGATCAGCGGTGTTGCCTTTCTTATGAATTAAAATTGTACATGCTCGCTTCCATTCAGTTGGGACATTACCAGAGTGCCAAATTTCATGAATAATTTCGGTAAGGTAACTTCTGAGAAACGAACATCGCTTGAAACAAATAATGGAAAGTTGGTCAAGGGGACAAGGGGAGCCAGACGATTTCATTTTCCGTATAACATTAGTAACTTGTTGGTATGTCGGGGGATTAAGGTTAAATTGAACTTCGGGGTCACATAACTTTGGAATCCAGCTGGGAATAGTGAACAGTTGATTAGGATTAATTTTAGCCAGAGATTTAGAAAAATAAGTGAGGCAATCATTCACGTTGAAGGAAGGTAATATTGAATCCTTCTTATTTATGATATTTTTAATATAGCCCCAAAAGTTCCGGGTGATATACTTGTCGTGATTGAGCGTCTGATTGCAAGAGGCTAGCCCATCGTCGTTGTTGTTGATATTGCGAAGTTTGTTACGCAATATTCGAGAGACGTGTCTAATTTCAGTAAGGTTACCTTCGTTACGTTTTAAATTCTGCAACGCTTTCTTTAATTCCTTAACTGTACATTCTTTATATTTAGCAACGATATTTTTATCTGGAATAGACTCATTATGACCAAAATTATCTGCGAAGTAGTTGTAAATAACATCGTTTAATAACTTTATTTTTGAATTTGCATCTGGAGAGCTGATTGGATGATTTATCTGCAGCGCACATTTGAAAAAATCATTAGCCGTTAGCCATTCAGAGTCATTTTTAGGTAAAATAATGCCTTTTTTGAGTTCAGGGAGTCGATCATCATAAGTCATATGGTTATCAGCTTGGCAATTTTCAGATTCAGGAGTATTTGTAGTATCATCTGTCGTTATTTGTTCTTCCAGATCAGTAGCCAGTTCGTCGTTAAGGCTGTGTATCACTTGACAACTACGCTGATGCATTTTAAGACCACGCACGCCTTTGCATATTTTGCCACAACAACATTTGACAACAGTAACGCTAGGAACAGGAATACTAGGTGACTTTGTTATTGGCATTTCCCGGGATCGAGCATCTACATGGTCTTTCTCATCATGATTAATACGTTCCTTACACCGCCATTTATGTCGACCAAGCGAGACGAACTCACGATCACAAAACGAACACACCACGCAAATCGTCAACAAAGTAATTACACTTGTACGAATCATTTTATAAACCTTATACGCGATTTCAATTAATAAAAGAGTGTGATTCAAATACGAATAATAATAATAAAATAATAATAATAATAATAATAATAAAATAATAATAATAATAATATAATAATAAAATGAAAACTTTATTGACATTTTTTCTTATGATACAAATTACAAAGGTAAACCTCTCTTTGACAGGTAGTTTACCAGTGTCTACTTGAATTGGTTACATGTTGTATTTACAGATTAAATGTATTAGTATGATATAAGTTGTGGGTTATTCCATTCTTTGTTACGTTTACAGAATTATAATAGGAAGACCTTATACAAATGTTCATAATTTTTCTAACAAGATATTTTCTGCATTGACTATCAACTTCTAGATCTTTCAGCATATCCATGAAACCTAATGCTGGTTTAGAAAACACACCTAATGTACTAATAGACATATTAACGAATATTACTTTTTCATATATTTTACGCTGCTCATTAATTAATGCTTGATATTTTTGTTCCTTACGTGTCACATTAGCGTGGAGATTAGATTCAAAGCCAACAGTAAGTTCCAGTATATAA